GGTAACTACGGGGAGGAAGTGGGAGGGGAGCTGTTGCATTGTGGTAAATTTTGGTCAATGACATGAGACAAAGTATATGTGAACTGCTGCATGAAAAGTGAATTTACTCTGTAAATCTTCACCCAAATCAAAATAAAATAAAAAAAAAAAAAGATCCTGTTAGAACTAATTTTTCTAAGAAGAATTATTATCATAAATATGGAATAATCTGTATGTTAAGAGAAGGAAGTAATCAAAGAATACATATGAAGGAATCTAAAATATGGTAAAACAAAAGTTAAAGCAAGTCATAATCAAGTGGGACCATTGTTAGGGCAAATGAAAATATCAACAAACCTGTACAAAGACAACGAAAGTTCTCGCATGTTTTAGGGCACACATCAGAAAATAATTCAAAGACAACTCTTCCAGCTGAAAAAGAAGGTAGTTGGTTTAAATCTCTTTAAAATATTAAATGCTTGTATATAAATGTTAAACAAGAACATTCCTTTTCTTACCAGGTTGATTGTTAATGGCAATATCAAAAAAGCATCGAGGACGCTGAACTTTTATTCCCATGGCTCCAATAATTCAATCTGTGAGTAAAATGTAGTTTAAGGCAAACTAAAACAGCAAAGATATTTCAGAAATTTCCGGGGGGAAAAAAAAATCTGTGGAACAAAAACTAGAAATGTAGTTTGAATTTTGACATTTATTTCCATGAGATAAATCACAAAAGAGCATTAGCACTTCCTTTTTAGATACTACGTTATCAGACAAACAGAAAAGACTTAAAAGAGAAAAGATTCCACTATTATCATATAATTCAGTTTCTATTTTACCAACTGAATATAGACTGCTAACCCAAATTGTAAATTGTATAGTCTGTATGGTAGTAAACTCAACAAGCAGATTACCTTTAAACAGGAAGGCAAAAATCTAGGACAACTGATCCAATACTTTTGCGCCTAGAAAATGAAAATGAGAGTTTGATTAAAATAGTTTTAAAAAGAAAAACATTCAAATTCCTAAAATATAGCAATAACAAATCATGTAGGAAAAAGGTAAGTGGCTATTTTAATGACAGTAATACACTGTAGGTTTATATTCTGAGTTGAAGTACATTAAGTTTTGTAACATGAGACTACTTTCTGATCATGAACAGCCTTTACTAATATGCTAGTATAGACACAAAAAATACCAACAAGGGAGATAAGCTGTGTAACAACTTTATCTATATAGCAGACAGCTAACATTTAATGGATATTTTTTTGATAAAACATTTATTTTAAGGACTTAAAATGTCTGAATTATAATACTTGGTGGAGGATGACATTGTAGGGTGAAGAAACAAAGCCACCACATATAAATAGAATCCAAGTGAAAGATTATAAAAACGACAGTTTCATTTGAGACTAACTGAAGTATATACACTTTTCAAAAAATTATATCTAAATTAAGCTGGTGGTCCAACACATAGTATACAATATTTTAGATCCAAAGAGGCTTGGAATGGCCTATACTCTCTACTCTAAACATACTCCCCCCTTATCAATTTCCAGTTGAAATTTTTATTGAGATAATTGTAGATTCAATGCAGTTGTAATAAATAAAACAGAGATCCAGTGTATACTTTATCCAGTTTCCCCCAGTGGTAACATTTTGTATAACTGGAGAATAACAGCATAACCAGGATATCCACCTTGATACAATCCACCTATCTTATTCATATTTCCTCAGTGTTACTTGTATTCACTTGTGTGAATTTAATTCTATTCAATTTTATCACATATCCATCACTATCCTTTAATAATTTTATGTTACATAAACCACAAATCAGAACATATAATAACAAAACCAAAGAGAGGAACAGAACTCCTTTACGCAGTTACCAACTATTTGAAAAACATAAATTATACATATTCATTGGTTTAACGCTGATTAAATTATTAGGGATTAAATTACATAACAAATAGATTACATTATATTCAAATTCAGCCAAGTATTGGCATATTCATTTTTCATATTACTGCATAGAAAGAGGAAAAAACACAATTTTCTCATAACTTCCTCCATTTTATATTTCTAATAAAAATAATGGATATTGGAATTTGTTTCACATAAATCAAAGGAAGAAAGACACCGTGCAATCCTTCAGTAAACTACAGACACAGGCTTCCTTAAAACAAACCCTTGTTGTTGTTGTTATGTGCCATCGAGTCAGACCTGACTCATAGCGACCCCTCCTTGACCCTAGCACTTTTAATATCCTGCCAAGTTTGTAGCATTAGTTTTTAGTTTCATAGAATTTAATTCTTACAAACTTGGAATTAAAAATACTGTTAAATTCATAAATGAGGAATGATCCTATCTTAAATAACATTAAATTAATATTTAATAAATGATTGTTTTTATTTTCCAAATAAATGTTATAGACCTTAAATTTTCTATTTTGAGGGGAAAAGTTTATTTATGTTTTATAAATAAGCACAGCACTAGAAAAACATTCCAAATTGTTCATGATTATAATTATTTCCCATATACTAAAAAACCAAACTCACTGCCATGAAGTTGGATCTGACTCATCGGAACTCCTCCTTGGGTTTCTGAGGCAATATCACTATGGAAGTACATTGCCCAATCTTCCTTCCAAGGAGTAGCTGGTGGGTGTGAACCACCAGCCTTCTGGTTAGTAGTCAAATGCCTTATTTGACTACTAACCATACTACTAGTATACTATCTATACTACTATGCCACCAGAGGGCCTTTCCCATATACTATATTCTTTTAAACAAACTACAGATTTGAAAACCAGGAAAAAGTCATAAAAGCTCAAAAAATAACTCCTAATTACTCTTAACCCTTGACACATAGGGGCACCTGGTGATGTAGTGGTTAAAGCATTCGGATGCTAACCAAAAGTTAGACAGCTCGAACTCACCAGCAGCTCCATGGGAGAAAGATGAAACAACGTGCTTCTATAAAGATTTACAGCCTTCAGGACCATAGTCAAAGGGGAAATCAAGCTCAATTGGCATAACATACTACACAAAACATTGCTCTACCTCCTACTTTTACTGGGATCTTAAAAGCCTGCAAGCAACCATCTAGATACAATGTTGGGCTTCTATAAAGATTTATAGCCTTCAGTACCATAGTCAAAGGGGAAATCAAGCTCAATTGGCATAACACACTACACAAAACATTGCTCTACCTCCTACTTTGACTGGGATCTTAAAAGCTTGCAAGCAGCCATCTAGATACAATGATGGTTCTCTCCTCATCCACAGCAAAGAATGAAGAAAACCAAAGATTCATGGAAACAATTAGTCCTAGCGGCTGGTACACCATGCGATCCATAGCCTATATGCCTATGAGACCAGAAGAACTAGATGGTGCCTGGCTACCACTGTCAACCACTTGAAGGGGTATCTATGTAGGAGATCCTGGATAGAGAGGGAGAACAATGTAGAACAACACTCAAAATCATTTGGAAAAAAAAGGGGGGGGGGGGAGGACCAGCTTCGCAGGTCCAATAGAGCCTGGTGGAATCACTGAGACTATGGCCCCTAGCTGTCTTCAGGTCTGGGAATGAATCCACACCTGTGGCTTCCAGCCAAACAAAAGACAGGCATATGAGCTGAACATTTACCTGAGGTCTAATAGACACACTCCTTGGAGAGATCAATCATGGGAGCAAGAAGGGCTGTTTATGCACAGGGAGACAGCTCAGGGGGCAGGAGTGCATGGAGAGACAGACACAGGGAAGACGTAACTATCAGGAGGAAGTGGGAGGGGAGCTGTTGCACTGGGGTAAATTGTACTCAATGTCATGAGACAAAGTATACGTGAACTATTGTATGGAAAGTGAATTTGCTCTGTAAATTTTCACACAAATCACTATTTAAAAGAGAGAGAGAGAGAAAGATTTACAACCTTGGAAACCCTATGAGGCAGTTCTCTGGCCTAAAGGGTCCCTCTGAGTCAGAATCAATTAGATAGTGGGTTTTTGGGTTTTTAGACATAATTCTTGGTGAATTTCCATGTTTCTTAATTCTAGACCACAATGTTCTAGGGCTCTGAAATTAAAATGTATATTATCACCATTAATTTACAAGACAACATAGTAAATGAAAGGATACATGAGGGAAGTTACTAGGACAATTTGTTCTGTTTTTCTAATGTAAGTCCTACTCATATAGGTATGTTTATTTTGGAAAAATAAGTTACACTAAGAATTTGTATATAGTTTGGAATGTTACAGCTCAATTAAGTATTTACTTTATTAAGAATAACACAGTAAAGCCAAAATTATTTCTCCACCTCCACTCTATTATCACTGTACAAACCAGCAGCTAAGGCTAAACATTTAGTTGTCTTTGTTACCACTCTCTCTAACACCCCATTATCCCATTTGGCTCTAGCTGCAAAATTATACCAAATGTTTTCATTATCTATGTTATCATCATTCCTTATATGAACTACTGCAAAAACCTTCTAACTTATTTTTTTGCTTTCACTATTAGTCTTGTACTCTCTGTTCTCCACAGGACAGTGGTTCTTTTAAAACATAAATCTTATCTGATCACTGCTCTGCTTAAAACTCTGTAATTTGTTATCATCACACTTAACGGAAATGTGTTATAATAGATTTTATGGCTCTAGAAAAGTGCTGTCCAATAGATATATATGAGGCAAATTTATAACTTAAAATTTTATAGCAGCCGATTGAAAAAGGTAAAAAAAAAAAAAAAAAAGTCAATTTTGATGGTATGTTTTATTTAATTCGTTTCAAAATAAATCAGCATAGTAATATTATTAATGAGATATTTTACTTCTTTTTGTATTCTTTTTTAAATGCAGCATATATTTTATAATTAGGTCATAATTTAAGTAGCCACATTTCAAGTGCCCCATGTGGCTTGTGATTACTGTATTGAACAGCAAAGTTCTAAATGTTTTACCTTCTATTGATTTCTATAAGTTCACCCCTAACATTCTTAGCTTTGCTTCAGCCACAACCATATTCCTGCTGTTCATTAAACATCCCAAGGCTCATTCCTTTGTCTTTCACATTTGCTATTCCCCCTACTTCCCCTAGATTTTCACATGGTTCACTCCCTCAATTAAGTCTGTGCTCAAGCATCACCTGCTGAGCAGCGTGCGCAGGCGGGTAGGTGCCTGAGGGCCTGCCGCCCCCAGCCAATTGGGAACTGGGGTCGACCAGCAGGAAGATGATGTGGTGGGGACGGCCTCGGTCTGCTGCTGGGCACCAGGCAGTCAAGAGCCGGACTTGAAGTCAGACTTAGACGCCTTCTCCCTGGACCTAGGGGACACGGGTAGACCAGATACCTCTTCCAGGTGGCACGCCTGCCCCAGTGCTGAGTTGTGGATTCCAGCGCCCCGTGGTGGCTATCCTCCACACGTGCACATATCAGTGACTCCTGGGGTGCATGTGCATGCCTACGCCGGCTGTTTCTTTGCTGGGGTGTGTGTGCTGGGGGTACGTGCTCCAAAAGTCTATATCCACTTATTCTGCTTTATATTTCTTCCCAGCAATGAAACTTGTTATTTCATTA